TCACTAGTGGTATGTGATTTGTGACACATGTGATGGACACATTATTTTCTGCATCAATTTTTGTTGCTTTGAACTTTTGTAGTAGAGAGAAAAACAAAGTGATTCAAACAGACTTGGCTTTTCCAAGCTTACGCTGTATCATAAACCATTTGATAGGTATTTTCTGTATTTTTCTGTAGCATTAGAAAAAATATATACTGTTCAAATATGATATTTATTTACAGATGTATGGTTTGAAAAATGTCCATGAAAGTAGTTTACAAATATTTTACTGAGTATTCTATGGTTAAAAACTTAAAACTTTTAACTCAGAGGTTAACCAAACTGGTTATAGTATTAGCCATTTTTGAGGCCCACAATAATATAAATGACTTTTTTTTTGCCGTTACGAATAAAAAAGAAAAAAGAATCATTTTGAATTGAAGAAAAGTATATTTTATTTTTAGATTTTTACCAAGGAATTTATCATAGCAATAAATTGCTATATTTTCAATAATTTCTAATCTAATCTGGTTGCTTCATGCTGACACAATGGCAGTAAATTAATAACTAACTAATATTTACAGGAAATGTGGAAAATATTAATGTGAAATACTTAATGTGGGGTAAATAATTGGAGTCCAACTCGTGATTTAAGAGGACGTAACACTAGTATTTGTTGTCTCCGTCAGAAAGTTATATGTATATAATATGCGGTAAATTAAAAATGGTCATAACTCACTTAAAAATTGAATTATCGCAAAAACCCAACGTACAAACACAGATAATGTTCTTACCATCAAGTTTTATAATAGGTCGATTCACTGTAATTTTTAAACTAAAGGAGCTATATAAGTGTTCTGCCGAGCGTAATTTTGTTATATTACTTACTGGTAAGACGGAGACAACAAATACTAGTGTTACGTCCACTTAATGGTGGCCAGTTGGTGATTTAATGGAGTCCAATAGTAGTGATTTACTGGACTTCAGTTAGTGTTTGGTTTGGGTGGAGCCGTTATGTAAACTAAAATTTAAAATTGAATTTTTAAGTAGGAAAATGGTGGGATACCTGAAGCTTGGAGGAGCTATCAATATATACTTCAATCAGACCAATTAGGTTAGGAGCCCACACAACTCCAACCCCTCCAAACAAATATTGCCTACACAATATTCAACAATTATAGTATATTTATAATTTATATCTAATCATGTATTCATGTTTCTTACTTATACACTTTTTCCACTACTATAATTCAACTGAAAAAATACATGTACTTAATACATATTTGTAATTACTTTTAAGTAAGATAACTTAAAATAATGCTGATAAGTGAGTAAACGCTCTGCTGTTCAGTAGATTATAAGTAGGTCACTGTATGGGCGGTGTTAAATTTGAATTGAATGTTATAATATCATATTGTATACTAAAAATGATTATGAGCGGAGATGAGTTGTCAGCCTAGGATATTTTATATTGTATATAATAAAGGTAATTATTACTACTTTAACCAGTACCTAGGTTAAATTAATATTATTTGCATAGTACCTTTTATATTTGTGTATAATTACATATAGAAGTACCCACAATTTTTAAATTACAAAAATATAACTAAAATTGTCATTCTTGGTTACCTATTTTATACTTAATATGTAATTTCGTAAAGAAGTGGTTTGCCTTTGGGTGAGTTTGTAAAAATCGCAATGTGTTTGCAAAATTTAGCATAATGCTTTCTTACAAGTGATTTTAAAACAATGTAATGGGTTTATGCGACCTTCTAATATCCTGTGTCGAGTTTGAGCAATATTTTTGTTTCTTAGACTTAGGATACTGTCCACGAAGTAAATGGCAAAACGAAATGATGCGTTTTTCAAGTGGTTAGTTTGTTTCACAAAAATTATCATTTTCAACCAAAATGCAATGTTTATTTCATTTCGTAGTAAAAATGTTTTTCAAATTGGAAACCCATACTTGGATCATTACACGTAATAACTTACACCAACATTATTATAATAGTATAACGAATTCATATTTTTAATGTTCGTGCCATAATCATTATTATGTTTAGCCGTTTAAGTTGTTATAATAAACAATATTATAATACTAATTGATTAGGTACCTTGCATTGTATCTATCACACTAACCCAAACACATTGTTTTTATTAGCCGTGTAAAAAGGTAATTCGCCAAAACGCATGAAGCTTTCTATATGGATACGTCTTCAGTCATTGACCAGTGGGCAGTGACCACTGTACATAATCTGTAGTCCTTACGTTACGGTGCGTTTTATCTCAACGTAGACAAAATGATAATAATTTTAATTATTATTATTCTTTAAATTTGACCTGGCATCTATCGATTGACTTGTGTACCGACCAAACTGTAATTAGTTTGTAATTTTCTCAATAGATAGCGTTCTGTTCAACCGTTTTTCATGCAACATAATAGGTAGTAGCTTAGTTGCATGCAGAATTATTTATATTAGTCAACAAAACACACACACACAAATAGTTATTATGTAGCTTATACAATATGTTAAATGTATTGATTTATTGAAAAATGGATCCAATAAGTATTTCAAAAAAAATTTTTTTTGATGATAGAGATTAAAAATTTTTTTAGTATTTTGCAAAATAACCGGGGAAGGTATTTTCTAATCGATTAGGAGTTCAGTTTTTGGTGATTTTTGGTTTTTTTTGAAATTATCATATACTTTATTAAAATGAATAATATTAATTAGTAATTTACTTATTTATTCAGAAGTTTATAGGCTAAGCCACTAACACAACTGGGTAACTGTAACTGTGTACTAACCACTAATAGTACTATTACTAATGAAAGTCTAATGTTACTATTAGTATTGTGTACTAACCACTCACCTAAAAAGGTGATCAAGTAGGTATGTACTCTTTGCTCTATATTAGGAGTCTAAAAATTTTACTGATATGTATAATATTATGTTGAAATTGTATAATGATAATAATTGTATGCAAAAAACGAGTGTGGGTGAAAATTGTCAATCATTTATTTTACTATTAGGTATAAATATTACAGTAGATTAATACATGTTTGCTGAAAAAATTGTATTTGAAAAATATCAATAAGTCATTGTGAGCATAAGGTAAAATAATGTATTTTAGAAGTTTCAACTACAAAGAAATAGTATTTTTAAATTACACCAAAATAAGTGAAATTGTTTTTCTTCTTTTAATATCTAAATTCTTCCAAATATGAACTTTAAATATCTTAAATATCTATGAATAAAAACGGTTAATACCCATAATTACTTACTTACAATTTTTACATTTTTTGGTTACAGTAAGAACTACTTGTGGAACTTTGTTTTAACCTTGGCTAAGAAAATTGAACATTTTGTAAGTTTTCAACTACTAAATAATATGCACATATTCAATTTGATACATTTTATCCAAATTTGAATTTTAGATAATTAAAAAAAAAAAAAAAACTATTTATTTTTAATATTTTTAAACTGCTGTTGTTGTCGTAACAATGCACGAGGAGCTTTGTATTAAAATATCAAGTTTTTTAGCCCAACGAGTTAGATAGGAACAAGTGTTTTCATCGAGTGAACATTTTTTTATCGACATTAAAATTATTCAAAAAAATAGAACATTTCTTATGCCCATAAATAGCTTAAAATCAGTGAAATATTTAAATTGTATGACGTATATAAAATGTCAGTATCAACATTCAGTAAAAATTGAATGTAACAATGGTCATTTTTTTAGAATCATGTAAACCAAAAAATAAAAGTTCTCGTTTTTCCTTAATTTGTTTTTGTTATTCCTGAAAATTGTGAAAATTACGTAGAATTTTTAAATTGTAATTGCTGAATGCAATACCTATATCAGCGTTCAAATAATAATAATATCAAGTACATACATCATCAATGTAAAACTTCTATTGACAAATTCATGACTTAAATAGATAGTAAACTAAACTACTTGTCATTTTTGATTGTCTCCAAATTTTTTCGTTAAATTATTATTATGTAGTTAACTTATTTAAATTATAATTTAAGTTTAGTTAAGTCTTTTATAGAACCTAATACTTATCTAGTATATTACTTAAACAATAAAAATTCCAGTTTGTATTTCAAAAAATAATGAATAAAAAATGATTTTGTTACCTAATCACTCTAATTATATTGCAGCTATTCATGTTAAGGTAATTAATTTTACCACAGTACAGTAGTACACCCAATTATTATATGATAACTGATGAGTTTTAATTAATTTTATAAACCGACTAAGAAAATGCCTGTGTTTTAAATAAAACATATTAAGTATTCTTAGTAAGTACATTTGTTTTTATTTTTGGAACATAATAATTATAAGGTACGATGTATCTATCTAACATGGCCCCTCAATACGACATAATATGTATCACCAAAGAAACGAAAATAATGTTTTTGTGAATTCAAAATCGATTTTCAACCATTATCCTTTAATAATTTATGTTTTTATTTAAAACAAATTAACTATTAACTATTGAATTTGATTTTTAGTTATCGTCAATCGTGTAAAAACTATTATGGTAGGAACGTCTATGACGCCGTGTTGTATCAGAATCCAAAAGTCGTCATTTTCGAACGAACGTTGCTCGTTGGGAAATCGATAGATTCGAGATCTGAAAACGCAAAAACGTCGGTAAACTTATGGAGAACGTGTTCGAAAAAAATTAATTTACTTTAGTCATGTTCCAGACTTACGATAGACCGTCGAACATAGTGTACAAAATTCGGGTTGGAGGCACTCGAATAACGGCTCATGGCGGTATCGGCATACTTGGTGGCACCAAAAAACTCATTGGAGATCATTTGGAATTTTGTTGGCTTTCCGGAAAACTTAAAACCAAATCCGTACGACGATTTGCGGCCGATAAATTGCAAAAATAGTTTGTACAACCGTAGCTAGGTCGACGCAGTGAAACACGAATGTTTACTAGTCGGTACGGTGCACAGTATAAGTACAGACGCTGGCACCATTGTGCAGTATTCAGTTTTCGATTATCAACACAAATAGTTATCTGATCCATTCCCAAAATGACCGACACCATCATCGCCACCGCTCCGGCACCAGTTGCTGCATCACCAGTTGTGAAAAAGTCTCCAGCCAAGAAGAAGATTGCCGGCACAGTCAAAAAGACCGTTGCGCTGCATCCAACCACCTCCGTGATGGTCACTTCGGCTATCAAAGAATTGAAGGAAAAAAAAGGTTCGTCGTTGCCAGCCATCAAGAAGTACTTGGCCGCCAACTACAAAGTCGATCCCGCTAAATTGGCGCCCTTCATCAGGAAATTTTTGAAAGCCGCCGTCGTCAACGGAACTGTAGTCCAGACCAAGGGAAATGGTGCTTCCGGGCACTTCAAACTTCCCGTAGCCGAGGCCAAACCGAAAAAGACAGTCGTAGCGAAGAAGAAGAAGTCCATCGTCAAGAAAGTTAAGGCGCCCGGAACCCCGAAAAGAAAACTCACCGCCACCAAGAAAGTGAAGGCCGGCGAACCCGCAGCGAAAAAAGTGAAGAAGGCAGTTGCAGTGCCGACTAAGGCCAAGGCGACGACTAAAACGAAAAAGTCCCCTGCCAAACCGAAGAAGCCTGCTGTTGTCAAACCAAAAGCAGCTCCAAAAGTGAAAAAAGCAGCACCCATCAAGAAGACGGTTGTCCCCAAAAAGAAGTAATTATCGAAAAACATCATAAGAACTATTCAAAATCTAATAAAACGGCCCTTTTCAGGGCCACCAATTTAATATATTCCCATCTACTAATGGTGTAACAATTTCAGAACTGAGAAGATATGTGATTTTACATATTATCCCTAATATAAAGGTCAATTCGTCAGTTAGACTAGGAAAGTAATGGAAGTTAATGTATTGAATATTTTTCAATACTTCTGTTAAATAACCTTCAATTTCCCATATAATTTTGAAAGCTTATATCGCAACCATCGAAGGAATTAATAATTTTCCTCGTCGGCAGAGTGAGCGAACATATATTATGGTATTACGCGTATTCTGTGTTGTGGACACCGTCGTGTTGTGTCATAGTAACCAGCACTGGTTTAAATGCCGCACGTCCGGCTTGTCTGTGTATGTATGGTGGTTTTGGACGATAGTTAAATTTTTTGCAAGTTTTGAGCACATTAAACGGCTCAATTAAAAAATGCTCGAAACTCGACATACAACAATCAGGCTTATATTTGCTATGCGATTTTTTAGTGTACACACCGCTCTGAACACGGTGGTCGCCCTTTCAGTCGAGCAAGCAATTACAACGTTAGAAACGACGCTTGTCTCACCAAATCAACTTATTAAAAATAGTTGGTCTAAAATGTGATAAAAAAGTTTTGTGTATATAAAATATAATAACTGTATTGTAAACAAAAAAAAACTTTGTTTTTGATGTTAAAGCTATTAGTATACCGTCTTAGTTGTTCAGTACAACCGAGTCACCTGAACTTGCAGTTGGTGGATGCAGGGACTGGAACCTTAAATTAATTTTAATCTAATTTAGAAACCAGATACCCAACGAAGCCCTTATTCAAATTGAACGCCATCGGGGATGTTATTCGCTCTCACGGAGAGTCGATCAGTGACTACGGTTTGTCTCTCCCGGTCGCCTGTAGCGCCTTAATACGTGCTTTACTGCTTTACTACCTAGTATCGAAACAAGACGACAGATTGTTCGACGCAATAGACGCGCTGGCAAGGTTGACTCAACAATATTGGGCGACATGAACGACGAACAGCGAATGGTGTACGACAGCGTGATGGCGGCTGTCTACTTTAATTGTGACGTATAGAAAACACTTTATAGGTACTTCGAGGGATCCGGTAATACCGGAAAAACAACGCTTTACGGGTTGAACACATGGTCGCTTCTCAACACTTTATGATTCCGCAAATATTACCAGTGCGCAGCCAAGGTCGAAGGTTAGCTTCTTTTTCGGATTTTTTTTAATATTTTGATTGCTTTTAAGTTAGGGTGACCATACATCCAGTATTATGCTTGATTGTCACGTTTTTAAACTTTGTGTCCCGTTGTCCCGACAAAAGTTATACGGGACTCATTATTAATTTGCCCGTTTTATTCATTGAATAAACAATTATTATTATTATTATTATTATTATTATTATTAATCCCGTTTTTCTCTTTATTGTTAATTTATTATTTTTTTATTATTTTTTTATTATACGATATTTTTGTATCACAATATTCAATTGAACATCTAATCTATACTTATCAGCATTATTTTTAGATTCTTGTCTTGTCAATAAATTATTATAATTGCAGCGGGTTGAAAATAGAGAACTAATAATGTCACATCATTGGGGAATAGTAAGTTCTTACACGAGAGTAGCAGGTAAACATTACAGTATATATGTGCGTTAGTTCCTATACGGACATATGTAAGTTCCTACACTGCGGAAAGGGTTAAATATGTATATTATACACAGACGTATCGTTAAAATAATAATACTATGTCCAGCCTTAGCTTACTAATATACATTCAATTAATATACTTCATTTAAACAAAACGCATGCAAAAATTATTTTATTATATTTTTAAATCACCATATTATACAATATTTATTTGTGAAAATGCACTATGACGATTTTAATTATATTTTTTAATCATCATAATATATTTGTTTTTTTTAATTCGAATATACATATTTAACCCTTTCCGAAGTAACTAACATACGTATCTGGTTTTTACCGTGTAGGAACTTATATACGTACTTTTTTCTGTCGTGTAGGAACTAACGTATGTATTTTGTGTACCTGCTACTCTCGTGTAGGAACTAACATTCGCCCATATCATTATCGACAATGTTAAACCAACGGTCATAAATACTAATGGTATAACGATAACGTACAAATATACGTATTAAATTTCTTATGGAAAACAAACGAAATAATTCTAACATAAAATTAGATGAAGATAATTTATTTGATGAATACAATCATGTAGAACAAATTTTTAAATCACGAATTAATGAATGGAAAAAAAAATTCAGCTATAGTCAGTAGAAGTTAAGTGGTGTGAAATATTTGAATACACTAAAGTTCGTAACATTGATACAACTAACATATCAAAAATTGTAGAATATTCTTTGGCAATTCCTGGTACAAATGCTGCAGTAGAACGGATTTTTTCAACCATTAATGTGTTGTGGACGGATGAAAAAAATCGATTTTTGGATGAAACTATCAAATCAATTATAATTGTAAAAACACATTTTAAAAACTTATCTTGTAATGAGTTTTATAATATTCCATTAAAAGAAACTAGGTAACTCGATGAAATCGGTTCAGCAAAAAAGTATATGAAAAAATCAAAAGAAGAAATGTACGTGCCATTCTCATCAAAATAATTTTTTTTTGGACTTTTGTGTATATATTATACTTGTAAATATTTTATTTGTATTTAAAAACTATTGTAAAGCATACATTTAATTGGTTTTTTTTATATTAATACATTTAGTTAAAATTAGAATATAGAAATCATGGGATATGGGATATGACGTTTTTTTTAAGTGTTTCACTTACTATCGTGTGTTGTACTGAACTAGATTCATAAGCTACAACAACATTATTCTTTTTTATAGTTGAAGAGAAAAGTTTATTTGATAAATATTCCAATGTAGAACATGATGTTAAAGAATTACTTAGTATAATAGCTTTGGGTCCGATGACAAAACTCTTCTGTAAATAGGTAAGATTGATTCAATTAATTTTGTACCAAGTTTAGAAAAAATTATATAATAATGGAAAAGTAAAAGTAGTATAAAATATATTTTCTTAACATAAATCAACTCTTAATTTATTACAACATACCACTGTATCATCAATATTGCTCATAATTGAAGAACAAATACTTGCTAAGTAAGAAATAGATTTTCCTTTTGAAAAGCCAATCATTGCCGTATTATAGTGATTCATTAAATATAAAAATGAATTCTGCTGTATAGGTTTCATTTGTATTATATTCATTTTATGAAAGGCCTAAAAATAAATAAGTATTGGTATATTAGTAAATAACTTAAAACACAAAGCAATTATTATAGACCGTTATATACAATAAAATATATACAATTAAGTAGATATAAGATGACTAAAAGTTAGGAAAAAAAATAATTAGGTCCAATGAAGTCTAGTAAAAAATATATATGTATCAACTACCTGCACTATATCATGATGTATATCAGATTGACCCCAATCATTGAGGTATAGTTTTTCATAAGGCCCATATATTGGTGTTGAATTTCCATTGTTTTTTGATACATCCTTATCATTATACAGCAAACTACAATAATTATACAAGTATTACAATATACCTAGTTTGATATTAAATCAACTCAATAACAGCCGGAAGAATGTGAATTAGTATTAAAAATAATAATATAAATAACAGACACATAAGAGTTAAATATATAAAATTATAAACATATAATATATAGAATAATGGATGTTTTTCTGTCTGTTAGCTAATGACTCAATATTACTAATAGACAGTTTTCAATAAAAATTATATCAATAGATTCCCTAAGAATTATGGGATGTTTGTAGCTTTCTGCCAACCTTATACTATAGAGCAGGGGTCGGGAAAATGCTGCTCTTTGGAAAATTCCCACTAATATTAAGTAGATACGTTGTTTTGAGTGTTATTGTATTTAGTTAAATAATATTATATTTGTACTAGCAATAATAATAATAATAATAATCATGAATTAATAAAATAAAGTTTTTCTATATTATGTTTTAAATTTAAGACGTATCATTTGCCTACCAATTTTTTAATGAAATAATAATACAATCTTTATTCTAATATTCTATAATATATTGTCTATACTAACAACTACAACTAAAAAGGTTATTCAAACCTCTGCTGCTCCCTGGACATCATGGTTTTGTAATTTTTCGAAAAAATGTTTCTTTTTTACGAAAAGATTCCCGACCCCTGCTATAGGATGTACAGGATGATCCAACAAGTATGCTCACCCCCCTTTTTTCTTTAATAATGAAGTGATTTTTGGAATCTTTAAATATACTCAAAGACCATATTTTCATATTCTTGAGATTTTTTCTACCACTTAATGAGTGCCCTGTGGCAATACAAACTTTTGTTTTTCAGATGGGAACCCCACTTTTTTACAGTAAATTATTTAGAGGATAATTTTTTTGAGAATTCTGCTGTAATGAAATCAAAATTTGAAAGAGTGATTTCCTAGTTATTGGACAATTTGTACTAAGGATAATAGTCCATAATAGGGATATGCTTACACAGTTCTACACATGGAATAAGAACTAAATAAATCAAGAAGGACCTTACTTCCTATTTACCTAAGTGTTTGACTAAATAAATTTAAAATGACGCATTATTTTATACTGTGTGTATAGACTATAGATAACAACGAATACTGTATAAGCATATTCTTCTTCCCTATTATAAACTATATTATCCGTAGCACAAAATGTGTAACAACTAGAAAACTACTAGTTCGAATTTTGATTTCAATACATCAAAATTCTCAAAAAAATTAGGGTTCCCATTTGAAAAACAAAGGTTTGTATCGCCACAGGATACTCATTAAGTGGTACAAAAAATCTCATGAATGTGAAAATATGGTCTTTAAGTATATTTTAAGATTCCAAAAATCAGATTTTGTAAAACTTCATTAATAAAGAAAAAAGGGTGGTGAGCATACTTGTTGGATCACTCTGTATAATATACTTAAGTGTAGCTCAAATCTACATGTATTTTTCTCAGCTACCAAAAACAGAATATTTTTTTTCTATTTATTGATAGAGTAGCCATTGATTACATAATATTTTACTACTATTAATACTAATATACAGTACAAATATGGCATACACAATATTTTCTTTACAAAAAAAAACAAATCTTTGGCACAAGTATCGCCATCTGGGACAGCAAATATAATTTTTATTTTTTTTAAATTTTAATTTGCATTTTATTTTAAAATAACTATAGCTAAATAACTATATAACTATTGCTAAATAACTATATAAATTATTATTTTGTTTCATTTACGACATTTAGATACATGTAAATCGACTAGTACAGGCAAAAATTTCCCCAAGCAAGCAATTGTATAAGTTCACCGGAAATCGGAATACAGAAAAAATTGTTCATCTGGCACGACGTTATTCAACGGCGTAGTCTTATAAAAATTAAAAGGTCTTATAATATTGGACTTACTCGGTATATTTACGAAAGCTAATCTGGCCCGCCATTTCGGTTCCGATGGTGAGAAAAAAGACCAAACAACGGATGGAAAACAATTTAAGTAATAATGCCCGGACGAATGAACGAAGAGAAATGATGATCACTATATCTGTAGGATACGTCAACTAATTATTATTGAAAAATCCGGAAAAACCAAGAAAAAATACACATAATATTTTGGCATGAGACATTATGATTAATCAGTTATCACTAATCATTTACGTTGACAACAATTTCAAATCGAGCATGTGCTTGGATCAGGGTTTTTCGACATAAGGTATTAAATACAATATATTAGATCTTAGTTCTTATATAATCTTGAACCGTGGCTCAGATCATAATATTATCACCCATACAATAGTATTTGTATTGTATACGGGCATCACTGCTTGCACACTGACCCACAGATAATTATAATATAATATATTATATTAAGTCAAGGATTTAATATAATATAAATCTGTGAACTGACCGAATGTCGAATATAATTAATATATAATGTACACGGATGGATGGGTGCCCGTGTACGCTTTACCTACACAGGCACCCGGGTGTCTAGAGTTCAAGATCCAACCTATAAAGTACCATTACAATAATATAATTTGCCAATATTGACCAACAGGCTTCAACTGATATCAGGAGTTCGCTATCTAGTACAAATAAAATATAATATAATACATTTAAATTTAAAATATGTATGTACCTATACATATTTTTTCAAATGTATTAATAAATTAGATTATTATATTAGTAGGTGTGTTATATCGGGTGTCGCCCGGTTTTCTAAAACAACGTCCATTCCGCATTCCGTCAATAAATTTTTCTGCTGATCAAAAATGATAGAATTTTGAAGTTTTGGAACCCTTTATGAAAGATTTAATGATAATATATATTTTTTTGAGTAACTATAATTGTTAACACTATGCAGAACAATTTACTCAATCACTTAACAATCCTTTATATAAAATCGAATAATTCAAAAGTTGTATTTTATTAGTTTAAATATTATTTAATAAACAGTGTACCCATTAGAAAGATTAATATTTATTTTTTATTAGGTAAATAATGTGTTTCAAGGACACGACTCAATCGATTTAATCTCGTTATATTTGATTTAATTTACCGATTTATCAATAAAAATATAATTAAATGTTCAGTCATTTTTTGATAACCTTTCGTCGGTAGTCATTTTTTGCAATATGGGGAAAAAAATCTCCGGAAAACAAATCGCCAAAACTATACCTAACTGTTGGATACAGCTGTTCGTAATTATTAATAATGATAAAATAATAAAAAGCATAAAATTTCAATGATAGTAATAAATCATTACAATATCTTGGTCAGTCAGTTCGCTTGCGCATAAAATAATAAAAAAAAGATTTATCATAATTAGGTTATAATAATAAAAAAAAGTTATTCAATTAGTTTTAGTTTATTATTAGGTTATGCCTATTTAGGTACCTATAATATTTAAAAATATGGCGTGTACAAATAACAAATTATCATAATGTTTTCAAATCAAATAACATGTTAATTGTGTGTAAATGGCATGTGTACAATGTACCTTTATTAAACAAATCAAACAGACAATGATTAAATGTTTGGTTATGTAATGTTTGGTTTCAGTGTAATGGCATCGTGAATCATACTATTTGAATTACCTACCCAATAATATAGTATAATATTATAATTTGAAACTGCTTACTCACAACTGCAGTAGTCTTGTTCGTCAGAGTTCCGCACTTCCACATTGGATTCAACGCGAACCAGATAATTAAGGATAAAGAAAACATCAACGACGAAATGCTAATCAATAAAATGATGCTGTTTATATTTGTGTTTTTGCTGATGTTAGACTTGCATGACGTTGCTGATGGTAAATTTCGTTCCATTGGTAGGAAAAGAAAAAAAAATAGTAAAACAGGTAAACCCCTCAACAGAACTGCAGGAGGGTAGATTATTAAATTAAATAATAGGTTTTTAATTTAATTTCAATTAAAATCGTGTATCCAAACGTTTGTTTTCAATATAATTATTTTTCCAATCGAGAATAACATGGAATACAAAGAGATTCTGTACAATTTATGATTCACAAAAGTCAATAAATTTGAATATAATATTACTGTAACTTCTATATTAACTAGTTGTTTTTGCATTATTAATTGTTACCCTATATTCCTTTCCATAATTGTATTTATCCAACTATAGTTTAATACATCAGGTAAAAATTACTTAGAGATGTTAAAAAAAAGTACATTTGTCTATTCCATCTAAGGATGCCGGATGAGCCAGTGCCGACCTTAGGCCTTAGCTTTTGTATGACATTTTGTGCCTCGTGAAATTATACAATAATTTATATTATAATTTTCCGGAAAGTTAAAAAAATAAAAATACGATGTAAGTGTAGTGGACAGAAAAATCATATTGTATTTTTGTCAACGAAAACGACTTCAATCAATAATAGTTTATTTTATTGTTATCGTATTGTCGTAACGATTATCTGTTCCAAAGTTCACGTCATAAATTGTGCAATTGTGCGATACACCGGCACGCCGCACGTACAAAACTTGGTTTGAGGCGTTTTGGAAGTTGTTCATTTCACATCGCGCTTTCGTTTAAATGTGATAACTGATAATAGGTAGGTACGTTTGATTTTGCGTTTGATACTCAAACAATTAGCGAATATCAGTACCTACCTTATTTTCGTAAGTACTAACACCTATTGATATAACTTAATATTAATAGGTATGTATGATAATATTATAAAAATATAATAATTATAACATTTTAGTAAATACTATTTTGATGCATTGTCAGTGGTGTATAACTTTTTTTTGTGTGTAATATATTTATAAGTATTAGAATTTATATTATAAGATCTTCAGAATCCATTTCCTAATGCTACTGTATCATACAGAATATTACTAATTATTCCAATAACCGTAGCCAGTGCAGAAAGATCCTTTTCCAAGTTAAAACTAATCAAATCATATTTGATGACATCGATGACTCAAGAAAGGCTCAATTCACTTGCAATATTATTATCTATCGAAAAAGACATAGCTTCAACCCTGGACTACAATGAAAATAAAATTAATGAATTTGCGAAAAATAATGCAAGGAACGCCAAGTACCGAACCATTAAATCCAGTTTTGGGATTAGATAAGTACTTTTATATCCAGATAATGATAAAGGATGATTAAATTCAAATCCAATAAATACATTTTATTTAGATAAGAAGAGATGATTTTTTTTAATATCTACTTTAATGTCTCTCACTTTTGAGAGTATACGAACTCCGGCCATATGTTTCAATTAATTTTAGCCGTAGACATTATTTTTAATCGACAAGTATACTATGCTATACAATAATTAATAAAAGAACATTTTATTTGTTGTTATGATCATGAAGTCATAATGGTAATGTAAATAATTATGCACATGTAGATATGAATTATTGATATCGATTCAATACGAGCCGGAACTAGGAAAATACAATTAAATATACCTCTCTTCCTAAAACCAACTTGTAATTATTTTTCCATTAATTTACTGTTGTCGAGTCACCAACTCAACATAACATTGAAATGTAGGTATATTTGAGTACCGGATCCGGGGGCCCCTAAGGAAAAGACCAATAATAAATATTTTGCCACCTAATACATGATATTAGTAGGGCTCGGATTTTGTAGCAGAATAAATCCTTAAAAAAGCATTTTAAGTTGCCAAAAAAGCATTTATCAAATTTAATTCTAAAAAAACAAATTTCAATTACACATAAAATTAAATATTAAAAAAGGAATTTACGACCATATATTTAGTCACGATGCTTTCGTTAAAACTTATACTTATAGGTGCTAATATAATTTTAATTTTTAACTTTTGGCATTTTGACGATTATACCTCACTGATTGTCGATTGATACCTATTTAGCAGTCAACTAAAGTATTGGAACGTGCTATAAAAATACGCAGGTATAATTCATATAGTATTCACTTTCTTTGAGTCGTAATTACAATTATAGATAATTGCAGATAAAACTATTTTGGCACAATAACCATCGTTATTTTATCAGTCACACTAATTACTTGTTTTAAAATTTCTGGTAATATTAATTTAGTCCAAGTATAATATACATATAAAAAGGTTAAATTTTCAAGAAAAATGTATAGAAATATAGAAAAAAGCAAAACAAAATTTACTTCATTAAAATCGGATTTATATATAAGAATTATCTTTCAATCATACTCCCCCCAAAAGGAGAGCATTTGTTACAAAATCCGAGCCCTAAATATTAGTATTGAAAACATACAATTCCACTGACGGCACTGAAGACAAATCAAATTTAAAGCATCGATTGTCAGAAAATTGGTACTTCAGTTTTGTATGAAGACGAATTAGTTGTCTTGGACACCCTGCCTTCATAACTGATCACGGAAGATTTTTTAACATGGAACGTGCATAAAGTGGGTAACCAAAGGTTAATCTTACTAACATCGACGGAAACG